TGAAAAAGTGCGTCTATAATTTGCATCACCCTGAAAAATGGTTTTTTGTAATTTTCAAAAATAGTACTTCGAATTTTAAAGTTTTGTCACCAACAATGTATTTCGAAACTTAAATAAAGTATCATATCAAATCAGTGAGCTTCAAATCGAAATAAGTTTTGAGAAATGTCAAAAATTCACGTGCGTCTATAGTTTACATCAGGACTGTACATTCCAAATATTTGCGAAAATGTTGACAGTGAGTGTGCGTAATGAACTTGTTCATCTATTAATTGTATAAATAATCCATGATTTAGTATTCAAACCCCTACACAAGTGATAATTGCTTGTACATAAAAGTATAGAGACAATAATTTCAAACTGCACGCTCAATGGACCCACTGCTCGCGGAAGCCTTGCGCAAGGGGAATGTGGTGGTGTTCTTCGACATAGCACTTGGCGGCGCGCCGCTTGGACGCCTTCGCATGGAGCTTTTTAAGAACGATTGTCCGAAGACGGTGGAGAACTTCCGGCAATTCTGCACTGGCGAGTACCGCAAGAGCGAACTCCCCGTGGGGTACAAAGGGAGCACATTCCATCGCATCATCCAGGACTTTATGGTGCAAGGCGGGGACTTCTTGAAGGTATGGTGGTTCTAAGTGTTTGACATCCTTCACAACTGCATTATGCAATAGGGCGATGGGACGGGTCGCATGAGCATTTACGGAGACAAGTTCGCCGACGAAAATTTTCGCCACAAACACACGGAAGCCGGTCTTCTGTCCATGGTACGTACGACTGCGGTCGATCACGTGCATAAGCTCACGATCGATGGCAGGCAAATAGCGGTCCGGGGACAAACGGTTGCCAGTTCTTCATCACATGTGGAGCTTGCGACTGGCTGGACGGCAAGCACGTCGTATTTGGCAAGCTCCTGGACAGTGCATCGCTCCTTGTGATGCGAAAGATCGAAAGCGTCCCCACTGGTCCCAACAACAAGCCCCGAACGCCCATCATCATCACTGAGTGCGGCGAATTGTAGTGCGCATGTCGTCGTAATGAAGTACTTCGAATGCCCTTGGTACACGATTTCGTGAACGACCCATGTTAAAGAACCGGTGATGAAGAGATACACTCCAGCTACATCCTACTTGTACATATTCGCCCCATGGAGCTCACATGATGGTCGTGTGTCATGCTGCCTTGTGCAGCACAACGCAAACGAATGAGCACAACTTGTGCTCCTGCATTCGTGTTTCATTCCATGCAGCATCAGATCATGAGAATGGCCGAGAGTGTCTCGGCGTACTCCCTCAAGTCGACCGCCACCACGAGCCCTTCCATGCATGCACCTACCTAGATGCAGCCTGAAACATGCATATCAACGCGATACTTGTTGCGCGTCCGACAGATTGAGTGTCCATGACAAAGATCGCAAGTCCAAACCACATCCAATCCATCGATCGTTTTGATTGGGCGACACGAGCGGTCCTCGTTCTTTCCCCCAATGTGTGGTGTTAACCCGCTGGGAACAAAATAAAATCAAAGGGAACTTATTTCGATACAAACGTCCAGCTTGTAGTGTTGCCGGAAATAAAAATCGAACATTTTTTTAGCGGGCGGCGGGGACCATTTCACAACACATCAAGATGAGTAGTCGGAAGGAGTACAATCTGCAGAAGGGCCTGCATGCAAAGCAGCTGAACGACGACGTGGCCAAGCCATTGTCGCCGCGGTCGAACGCTACCAGATCCAACAACAATGCCAAAGAGGTACCGTCCCTCCTTCGAGGTGCATGCTGCTGAGTGCATCGCAGCTTGACCTGGTGGACTAGGTGGCCAGAATCCGTGAAACGTGCCCGCCTGGGACGTCGGACGACCGCATTGCGCTGATTCTTCAGCAAACCAAGGGCGACGCCCAAAAAGTACAGCTGGCCGTCAGCGAACTGTGGGAAAACCATGGCGTGGTTCAAGACGAGTGGGCAACGGTCAGCAAGAAACAACCCAAGAAAAAGCCCGAAGAAAAGTCGACTTCGTGGACAACGACACAGCCCAAGAACAACCATCATGGTGGTGGAGGGGACAATGCAGTGCAGACAGGGACCGCCGGAGGAGGACGAGGTCGTGGCAGCGCGCGCGGTGGTGGAGGCCGTGCCCAGGGAAGTGTTCCTGGAGGAAGGGATTTGTCGCGCGGTGGCCGTGGCGGCCGTGGCGGAGGGCGGGGTCAAAGTGCCGCCCCAGACAACTCGCAACGACATGAACAGCAGGTTGACACCGAACACGCTGCGGACAACGACGACGAACTCGTAGCACCAACCCCTTCACACGACAAACCGCAGCCCAAGCAAAAGCAGCAGCAGCATCATCAGACGACCCACAAACACGTCGATTCCAACAGTGCGCCCGTGGCGCCGGCGCCCGTTCTGGTCGGAGCGTGGGCCAAGAAGCCAAACATCCTCAACCAAGCGAAACCCGTGACGAGTCCAAAGAAGGCCACGTCACACACGAGCCACGTGGCCAAGCCTCAGTCGCCCAAGAAGCAAGCGACTACCCCCAAGTGGGATGTGTCCAAGGACACCAAGCTCGAAGACACGGCGCCGCCAGCCTCGACGCCATCGACCACCGCGTGGCCGGCCACAGTCGCATCCTCATCCGACTCGAAACAGAAATGGCCGCGGTCCCCCAAGCAGAACGAAGACAACGACCACCCACCGGCCGAACCCACCCAACGAGTGGAACCTGCCGACACGATCGCGTCGTGGGGCGCGTCGCTCGAGTCGTCGAAAGCGCCGCCGCCATCGACCGCTTCGACCGTGGCGGCGGCGGACTGGGACGCTGCGCCCCCGGCCTGGACACGCACGAGTCCGATCCTGACGCCGTCACTGCAGTACCCCCCCTCGTCCCCCTCTGGCGCCGTGTTTTCCCCCAAGACCCAATCTCCCAAACAAGCCAAAACCGGATCGTCCAGCCCCACCAACGAAGCTCGACAGAACAAATTCAGCATGGGCCGATGGGGCGATGTGGCCGCCCCCGAACTGTCGCTCCAATTTGGCAGCTTCTCGATGGATATTGACACGACCGCGTCGTCGGCCTCGACGTGGGCCAACACCCCCCCCGCCACGGCCGGCTGGTCTCCCAAGAAGGCGCACGAACAATCCACCCCCGTCAAGTCCCCCCGCGCCTCGTCGGCGCCGCCGCCTGGTCTGACCGACAGCCCGAAGGCGTCCCCCCGCAAGTTCCAGAACCCCACTCCGAACGCGCCGTCCCCTGCCGCGCTCCCCAAGCCGAACGAGCGCCAACAAGGCCCTGCGTCCTCTCGCGCGACGACCACCACCCACCAAACGGCGCCGTACCCCGCGGCCACAACGTCGGCGGCCGCCAAGCCCGCCGCGACTGCTGCGTTTAGCAGCCCCTTGTACCAAAGCCACCCGAGTACGTACAACCAATACTCGGTGGGCATCTCGGGCCGATCGTCTCAACCGCCGTCGGCGACCACGCCCACGACCCAGCAACAGCCGACCACACCATCGTCCGGCAACCATGTGCAAGGCGCCATTGGAAAGCAACACGGCAACCACCGAAACAATGGACAGACCAACAACCCCATCGCGGGAGGTAGCACGGGGGGTATGAACCAAGGCAGTAGCAACGCACAAGGCACTGTGCCTCCGACCAACCCGCAGCAAGCGGCCCAACCGTCCCCCAATGCGAACCAAGGTGTTGGCCACCAAAACCCCCCCCACCTTGCGCCGTACCAGCAGTTGCCGCACGCGTATCATCCTCAATACCCCCCCCCGCCGCCGCCTGGCATGGCCATGCCATACAATCCGTACAACTACAACCCCCAGTACTACCCCCACCAGCCAGGATATCCCCACGGATACTATCAAAACCCACAGGTACCTACCTACCTACACATACCTCCATGTGTTGCTGTTGTTTTCACAAAGTGCTTTTGAGTGTAGTACCCTCAATACAGCCCTCGTCAATTCCCTCCTCGAGGCAACATTCCGTACGGCATGGATGGCGCTCCTGGCTTCTCCAACCCTCCCAAGTAAGGCAGAACCACGAAACTAACTCTGAAGAGGGTTTTTTTAACCGACACGAGTAGCGGCCCGTTGAGCTACCAAGATCCTTCGCAGCTAGCGCATCCAAATGAGTACGGCCAAGGCTTTGGCGACTTGGGCTATGGCCAACAACTGCACCCCCAACACCACCACCTGCAGCAAGGGGGTGGTGCCAAGCCGCAAGCGGGGGCCCCTATCAACAACGGACGACCCATCGACCCGTCCTACGCCGCTGGTCCTGCCCAAGGAGTGGCACGTGAACACACTGCGTCGCCCCCCGTTCCTGGGGGTCATCCCGGCGCGTATGGCCAGCAGCAGCAGCCGCATTATGGCAACTGGGCTGGATCGTACAACCAACCGCCCCCACAGCAGCAACCCTCCCTGGCCGCGTGGGGGGGGCATCAACAGCAGCCCCCGCCGCACCAGCAGCAACAGGGGTACCCCCAGCACCAGCAGCAGCCGTCGTATCGTCCGTATAACAACGGCGGCAACAACGAGCCCGGGAATCAAACATCGTGGAGCTCATAAGAACTACGTAGGTAGTAGTAGCTAGTTAGCCACGCGTGTACAGCGGTGTAACTTAGGTCATTCTAAGGGGAATGAAAGTCAGTCAATTCACAGGTTAAAATGCGCTGCTGGGATGTTAAGTCAACATGGTGGCTTCGAGCTGTTGGGCCAAAATCTTCCATGGGAAATCCCCTGCTTCGTCCGCTACTTGGATCTCGGGGGGGTCGGTGCTGCTTTCGGTGGCGGTCGTGGACGGCGCTTGGACGACTGGGGCGGCTTCTTGGACCGGGGGGGAAGCAGCAGTCATGGATGGCGAGGCGGTACTTGTGGTGGGGGGGAGAGGGGTAGCAATTGGGTTGGGTGAGGGGGCGGTAGTTGCGTTGTGGGCAGAGGCCGACCGGACGCGGGTTGGTGTAGGACGCCCTCGGAGTTGGGGGGTGCTTCGGGGGCGACTCAATTGGGCTTGCAATATTGCTGCCTCCATGGGAATGTTGGTTGCATTCGAGCGCGCGGGGCCAGCAACTGGAGTAGCGCGGGGGACTGGGCGCTGAGCCCCCACCAACGACGCGAGCGCCAACACTAGGATCCACTTCATGTCGATTTCGCAAATGATCGACCGCAGTGGGGTAATCGGGGCACCCATCACCCCCCCTCCTGTGCAGTTTATCGGCCGACTCGTTTATATATTGGATGATGCGCAGCTCATTTTGAGAGGCGAGTCTAGTTCTGTGGTTGATTTGCTAACGTTATGGGATGTTTTAATGCAATTTGGACCTCGTGAGTCGTAACTCAATGGGCAGTAGCGCTGGTACTGTATGTTGATAAAGTTCAGTTGGATCTGGATACCTTGGCAACCCCTGACATCATCGTACATATACAAACCACGTTGCCCCTGTGGTCATTTCGATCAAAATAGCTCTCTGACGTTGAGTAAGGGGCGAAATTTACTGTTTTGCTATATGACTACAACGTACAGCACTGTAGACAAAGTCGCCATCGTACTTGACGATCGTGTGGTGACCAACCAGCGCAACTTTTTAGCTGTCACCAGGAACGTTTGCATTGTATCCGGATTATTCAGGACGTTTAACCTAATTACCAGGTAAACAACGTAAACTAATAAGGGTTTAACGTCAACATTTTCGTGGGTTTAACTGAAAGAACCGAGGCGTTTAATAGTAAAACGTCTCCTCCTGAGGATGGCCGATGTAGCCACAAAAATAGCGAAAAGTTAGTTTCGTACGGATAAGTGCTGTTTACAACGACCAAGATATACTTATTTGCTACTAGTACTCCTTTTCGGCCAAACTCCATATATTTCCATACAAAAAGGCCGGATAATTTTAAATTCTATTACTCGATCAATTTTTCACCGAAAATCTGAACCGTAACTTCTGTTGGGCTTGTCCAGTTCTATCGTCATTAAGGCTTATTTTCCTAAAAAATTATCAGTACAAAGTTGGAATAGCTGTCGAAAGACAAGGCACTGTTTTGTAGTCTTTAGATGACTTGCACCATACTTCATGATAAAAATCCATGCTAACATTAACGTAAAAAAACAAGTTAAGACATCTGTAAAAAGCATATATTGTGTTGTGCAGTGGTATTGCATGAGAAAAACAAGAAAAACCAAGGAAATTTCATACTAGTACAAATTTGAGAATCAATATAATACACATGTTGTTATCTTGATCAAAGTATAATCATTTGCATATAAATTTCGTTTTTATGAAAACGGGATATAAAATCGCAAGGAGTTTTGGAAGCTTCCTTTCCGGTTATTCGTCAAATGTATTTGCGCCGTTTGATTGGTTCATGAACATAGATCTTAACAGTAAATTGAGTCATGTGTGTTTACTCCCCTAGGACCATTTAACTGTAACTTAGTAAATTGATTTTTTGAGTTATTTAAAAAAATCCCCTTGGTAATAATAATGAAACGGTCCATCGAGCAAGGTTGAGAAAGGTCCAAATCACCAAAGAAGATGCGAAGAAGAAGGTTTGTGTCAACTACCGGTAGGCGAAGTAAAAACTATGTAATCCGATCGTGTAGCATTGCGACCATAGGCATCAATCAGCTCCATCATCGAGTTCGTTCTAATATGACCATTTCCTTGACCCTCGAGGATAATTCGAATAGTGCGAATTGACGACAGACACATCTCACCACATCTGCGATACTACTCTGCGCCAGAACAACAAGGAATCCCGTGGTAGACTTCAGCATGCCACGGTTCAGCTACTGTATGGTCGCTAGCATTTCCACGACAATGTCCATACTACAGTACAGTATACTTCAGTATAATATATTGCTGGGACGAGGTCTTGGTACAACCTCAAGCACGATCGTCGAAGCAGGTGGCATGATAGAACGAACGTATCCAACGTGGCCTGTCACCTGTGAATTCGTTTAAGCTTATGAGCGTTTCAGTACGTCGACAACCTTCACTTCGATTCGTACAACACTGTCGCCAGTCAGACGGCGGCAGGCAGTGCAGGGACCACCATGCCAAGTGGTTTCCATGCACATCGGCGCCTTCGTTGGAGATACGTGTTCATTGTCATCACGCTGGTCCAGGTAGTATGTTGCTCGAGTATCGCTTCGGAGGGTGGTAGAATGCTGAACGATGTCCTTCCAGCACCCAACAGTACCACCAAGGTGACTACCCCTCTCATCACAACCCCTCTTCCGACCACCAACAATGCCACTCTAAGGCCTGGCTCGACATCGACCAAAACGCCTTCCGTGACCACGTTACAGTCTCCTACCACCTCAGAAACTCCCATGCCGTCCAATCTAATTGAACCCTCCAAAAAGTTCACTCTACCCTCGCTAGCAACGCCCCAGCCCTCCCATGACGACGAAGACCAAGAGGCGAGTCCATCACCGAGCAGTACCTCGTCGCACACGTCAGAGCTTCCGTCGCTGTTGCCCAAGCTACCGGCCACTACCAGTCCCGAATCGGGCGACAAGGCGGCAGCAGGGAATGACAATCCAGGAACAGACACGGCCTCGCCTGGCTCCATCAGCAAGCCACCGCCTACGCAGCCGTCCCCATCGACTCCTTCGCCTTCATCGGGCCTGGCGGTTCAGTCCGCATCGCCGGACGGGATGTCTACGTCGACCATTTTGGCCATTATGTGCGGAGTGCTCGCATGCTTCGGCATGGGCGGCGCCTTGTTCTTGGCCATCCTGCGCACGCGTCCTCGGTTTTACGACTCGGACGAGGACCATCCTCCGTTCCCTACGACCTTTCATTCCGCGAAACCCTTCGCAGCGCCGTCGGGGACTTCGTACGCGCGGCCGTCCGAGTTTTGGTCCGAGCCAGCCGTCATGTCGAGTATGCGGTCGGACGTGGAGCTGGCTATCTCCAGCATGCGCTCCGACCTGGAGACGGCCATGAGCTCCATCCGATCGAACAATGGCGCCACCTCCTCGCTTCGACCCACGCGCCAACTGAGCGGGGTGTCCGGCCGGGGCACCGGCGTGGGCATCGCCATCCGCGTACCGAGCCTCCTCGACGTGAATCCGAACGTGTATGCGCAGCACCCTCAGCTGCGGCAGACGATCAACCAATGCCGCCAAAACGTACTGGACCTGTACAATGGCCAAGAATCGATCACGCTCGAAATCACTGGCACAAACAAACATAGGAGTCTGTCTGCCACTTGCGAGTAGTTTTCATTGTTATTTAATTCAAGTACATATATGTAGCTTCCGTCATTACGTTACCGAGTACTGGTAACGAATGTTGGAATTTTCACGGAGAGATAAGATACTGTATACAGTACCGGTATGCTCACTGTATAATACTCGGAGTACTTGCGTTAACGCTTACTTCCGATTGGAAATGATTGATAGGCTTCACATTATTGTTGAGCCTTGAACAACTGTATCTCAGTCAAAATAGGTTATTATGAAGTACCTTGATAATGGGTATACTTCCATAGAGAATTCCACTAGAAATCCGATTTTAATGCTTCGAGAGTCCTAAATATTTAATAATAAATATAATTTTCAAAATAAAAATAGTATTGTGCTTTCGAGTGAAATTTCGAGTTGTGGCGTGGTTTCTCGTTGGAATTTAAATCGATTCGATTGGCTACCTCAGATGAGCTCAAAATTATCAGCCAATCAAAACCTTCTCAATGAAATTCAACCAATCAGATCGATTGTGCATTGGTTTGGTTGGCGCGATTCACACAATTGCACCCCCTCCCCAAATTTGTATCAAATCGACAATAATTAGAATATCTTAGAAGTTATGGTCAAAATTGACCAGGAAAGAATCTTTCCTGATCAATTTTGACAATAACTTCATCTTTCCGAAAGATGCTCAATTTTCACTGTTCTTCCGTATAACTTCTGTACATCTATATCTGATTTCTCCTAAATTTATCTGGTTATAGAGGTTTCGGTGGAGATATGTGGTACAGGAAATATGACAATGCCTGTATAATATAATAATAGTTGTACGTAACCGGTATCATTTCGAATCAACAGGAACTCGAATTTCGACCCCGTTCTGGACCAACTAACTACATGCACTTGAATACTACTAAGTTAGACTGGTAAATACTACATCGTAGTAGTACGTACAGTCGTATAACCTACACAGTCTTCGCACACGGACGTTTACATTACAAGGTAGGGTAGGTTGTCGATCGATCTCTTGACAATAGTAGTAGTACAAGTAAGTAGCTTTTCGTATACTACAATTTACTTGTCGTCGGGTGCAGGGTCTTGTGCGTGTACGTGTCGGTGCCGCCTTGGCCGAACGCCGCCACCGTGTGCACTTTGGCGGACCGCAGCTTCCACTTGGTCGTGAGGAGTCCTTGGACCCCCACGGGGCCCCGCGCGTGGATGCGCCCCGTGCTGATGCCTACTTCTGCCCCCAGCCCAAACCGGAACCCGTCGGCGAACCGCGTGCTCGCGTTGTGAAACACACAGGCGCTGTCGATGCCGTTTAAAAATGTTTCCGCGACCGCCGCGTCTTCCGTGATGATGCACTCGGTGTGGCCGCTGCTGTATCGGTTGATATGGGCCATGGCTCCGTCCACACCTCCCGCCACCACTTCCACCGTCAGCCCCAACGATCCGTACTCATGCGACAAGCTCGGCGCTGCCTAATACCACGAAACACCGTGAAAACGAAAGAAGAAATAATATATACAACTCGATGCATCGCCATGCCAGATACAGATACAGATATTGTCGATTCGAAATTGAAGTCGGCAACAGACAATCGATCGACCAATCAAAACCCACAACACGAATCAAGGAGCCAATCAAACACTCTCTTCGACCAATTCAACACCGAATTAGTGTATGACTGATAGTAGTGTGATTTTGGACGATCATAACAAAAGTCACGACAACGAATCGATCGATCAATTTGGCGAAACAGCACAAAAGTCCAAATTTCGGGTAAAAGGACATTATATATATATATATTGTCCTTTTACCCCAAATATATATATGCGTGTACATACCAGGGCGCCAGGCACCAAGTGCAATTTCGCGGCCCGGGGACCTTCGTACAAAGTTACCCCCGCGGCCACAAGTGCGTCGAGAATCGCGTGGTGCGCCCCGCGCTCAACGATTGCTTCGTCGATCAAGAGGGTTTCCAGTGCATTGCAGGCGGCGGGATAGTCTGTCTTGGCGTCAACTGCCACTTTGGTGGCTTTAACCAGGTCGGCGTTGTCGTGAATGTACACGTGGCAGACACCTTCGGCATGGCCGAGCACGGGAATCCGAGTGTTCTTCTTGATGTGCGACACGAGGGAGTTCGACCCGCGGGGGATGCACAGGTCCACGACATGGTCGAGCGCGAGGAGGGCGCCGACGTCGTCGCGGGTGGTAACGAGGCCCACGACCGACGGCGGCACCTTGCTGGTTTCGAGGCGGATCGCGTCTTGCACGAGCGCATGCAGGCACGCGTTTGAGTGCTTGGCCTCCTTGCCGCCCTTGAGCAGCAGACCGTTGCCGGAGCGGAGCGCGAGGGCGGCGATCTGGGGCAGAGAGTCCGGGCGGGACTCGAACACGACGAGGAGGACGCCGATGGGGGCCGTCACCTGCTCGAGCACGAGCCCCGAACTTACTTCCATGAGAGATAGGACCCGTCCCAGCGGTTCATCTTGGCCGGCGACGCTTGCAATGCCTTGAGATAACGTGACGAGCTTATCGTGGGTCAACTTGAGTCGGCTGCGGAGTTGCGGGTCCAAACTGGATGACGCCGCGTCCAGGTCCTTGCGGTTCGCTTCAAGGATGCGCGGCGATTCATCTACGAGCAGCTGCGACAGGCGCAGAACGATGCTGGAACGTTCCGCTGACGACAGCTCCAACAAGGCGCGGCTGCCGTCCCGCGCGGCAACCGCCATGTCCTCGGGCGAGTTGACGGGCGTTAAAGCTGACGGGTTGGGCACAAAGAGCGTGCCCACGACCGTGCCTTTCATGATGGAGTCGAGGATTCCGTACTTGAACCCGCTCGCAATCACGACCGCGTTCACGCCTTGAGCCAGCGCGCGCTGTGCCGATCGAATCTTGGCTTGCATGCCGCCGCGGCCGACAGACGACTTTTCGCCTACATGTAGGTGCAAGTCACGATTTAAACGATGGAAGGATGCGTGAGGTGTAAGCGGAGGAGGACGAACCGAAGACGATGGGGCCGCCTGCACCAAACACTGACAGCACCTTGGCATGGGGCTCGGTGGGCGGCTTGTCAAATACACCGTCGACGTCCGTGAGCAGCACGAGCAGGTTCGCGCTGGTTTCGCCGGCGATCAGCGCCGCGAGCGAGTCGTTGTCGGTGAACACGCCGTCTTCATCACGGTACAAGCCCGCGGAGATCGCGTCGTTCTCGTTCACGATGGGAAGGACGTCCATGTCGAGAAGATGCAGGAGTGTGTCGCGGATGTTGGCGCGGTGCTCGGGGGTTCGAAACTCGGCTTCCGTCACTAGTACCTTCGATGACAGAGAGAGAGAGATGCGATGAGATGATAGTTTGATCGTCGAGTGATGATCTTCTACCTGGGAGCAAGCGACGTCGTACATGGAGAACAGCGTCTCGTAGAGTGCCATGAGTCCAACCTGGCCCGCGGCGGCCATTGCGCCTTTCTTCGCGTCGAGCGCGTGATGCTGCTCCGTCCCGCCTTGGACGTGCATACGAAGCGACGCTGATAAGAGCAGTTGCTTGTGCAGCTTCTTCCGCCCAATTCCAATGGACCCCGACGTGACGAGCAACACTTCCTTCCCTTGCCGCTTCAACATGCTGACCTGCTCCACGAGGGACGCCAGTCGTCCGAGAGCAGGCTCTCCATTTGTAGACACGACGCTCGTCCCCATCTTGATCACAATACGCTTCGCATGCTGAAAGTCCTTGCGCGCGAGATTGCGCTGCCCAGTTACCATGTCTACGAATCGCCAAATACCAAAATACGACTGTTTGCGTGAGTTGTGAAAAATAGTATCCACGCCCACTTCAAGATACACAGCTGTCCAATGAAAATCGCTAAAATCAAAAATACGGCTACATATTTCCACCAATCAAAACGGCCATGTATCCACGCGTACCGCTGAAAGTTCTTAAGGTGCGCCTGCGCCAGTGAAAATGAGATGCGTAGGCCTGCCTAACTACTGTATTCCCTAGTAATATGCGCTGTTCGAATGCATTAGTAGTACCCAGCTACTGCCTTGTCCACCCTTCGCCATAGGTGTAGGTCCCGACAGATGTACTGTAGCCAAGGCTTATCCCATGAATTGACAGCTGTGCGGTACTGACGTTGGTTGGAAGTGTTAGGGTTACTGTAGCCAGCTAAGCTTACATCAGCAGTTAAGGCACCCCCAATGGTACGTTGGGAAACGCTATTTTACCGTTTTGGGGGTGAAATATCTAGCGTTAGTTTTGGCAACCCAGAATGGTGCGAGTGTAAGATATCTGGCAGGTCGGTCTGGCACATTTTTACCGCATCGGCCGTTTTTACGGTTTAGTGAACATTATTGAACGGGAAAATAGAGGAGCCAATCATTGAATACAATTGGAAATATCTTCGCATAAGATGCTCCGGTTGGTTCGACCAAATGCCACGAAATTGAAATCGGAGGTGCCTCCAATGACGACTGTACCCTCCTGGTTGAGCGATATTGCCTTTTGAAGTCATCAAGTGGGCAAATTACTGTCTGTAAATCTCCGCGCAGCTTGAAATTCGAACTTTCGACAACATCAACAACGTCAACTCTAGCCAGAGTCGCATGTACGTTGGGATTAATAGAGCATATAGAGAGAGTGTAAGGGTAGAGGGTAGCGTTGGGTAGAGGGTACACAGCGTAGAGTGAGTTAGGGCCCAATTCGTTGTCTATATCGTCGTGATCAAAGCCAAGCCACCATAACAGGCTCCTCTGGGTGAAAAAATGCGATGGCAAATGTCGCGTCACAGCCTGCAAAATGTATGAGGTTCAAAACCGATCCATACAAATCATCAAATGACAACTTTTGCGTGAAATCACTCGATTACTGTACATTCGTTGCTAATGCTCCCCGTTGATTGTTGATCGCGCGGTCGCCCGGGTCTTTTACCAAGGTGGCGGAGTGGACATTGATACGCGAGTGAATCATCGTACTATAAATCGATAGGTTAACTCGTGACAAATCGATCAATAGAAACTAATCGCGGAAATTCGCAAAATTGACAAAATGTATGGAGGCCAACCAAGGATGGTGATCTTTTAAAATCACACTTACTGTTAACAAAATTTGACCGGATAAGTGGTAACGTTATCACACTCCTTTTCATTGGCTCCATTATCTATGACAGCTCCTTTTAGGCACTTGACAGTACGGTACTTCGAAGTATAACGAAACACAACGTGCTATTTAGAATTTACCAAGTATTCTGACCGAAATATTGCAGCACGTCATGTCGACGCTTTGTTGGCGGCGATCGCGCCAGGGTTTACAGAATGCGACGCGTTCCGCTGCAAGCTTAGTGCGCGATTGTAGCGTGATCATAGACGAAGATGTACATGTCACTACATGTCACGGCATATCGTATAATTTACTGGAGGGCAAGATAATATCCACTTCATCACTCATGCGACTTGGTAGGGCGTTTTGACGAACACATTGAGTTATGCAAGGATGAGATACAAGTACTCGAGTATGGTACTGACTTGTACAAGGATGAGATACTTACAGGTAACTGCGTGTATCTAAGTTTACGTAGCTTTTGTCAGTTGCATACACATCAATTTTTGCCCCAACGAGTGCGGAGCCCAGGAATATGATTCATCACCCACGAAGATGAATACTCCGAGTACCGGTACGGTCTTCACTGGTTAAATAGTTAACGAAGAAGCACCATAAGATGGACCACTACTGTAGGTCACATGGCTGCGACGTTTCTTTCATCACTGTACTCGGAGATTTGATACACCCCAGAACCCTGGAAACCCCAAACTCATCCTGTAAATAGAACGTTACCTATACAATCTATTTATGAGAAGCAATCAATCCCTCCAAGAATCAACCATCCATAATATCGATGGTTTCCAGAATCCGGATTCTAGAATCCGGATTATATTTTTGTCTATCGAACACAGATTCCAAAGTCTGAATCCACGGAATAACCGGATTCCTAATAACGTTATAACAAGGGAGTCATGTCGCATTTGCCCTTACCCAACGGATTAACTCTTGTTTTACAACCTTTATTGTACAGAAATTACAGGGATCATTCTTGCAAAACCACTTTAATGTACCGTGTAACGTATATAGATTTGGACAGTGGCGGACCAATTATCCGGATACGGATAGTGTCCATTACCACATACATACAATTGTGGAACTTTACAGGAAATATGACGTAGCAAAATCACTCTAATCAAGTGTAATAATCCAACTATATAATTTTACAGAGGAATATATAATTTTATAGAGGAGTATATAATTTTACAGAGGAGTATATAATTTTACAGAGGATTATACAATTTTACAGAGGATTATACAATTTTACAGAGGAGTCCAAATCTATATGGCTGTCTAAACCTATATACGCTACACGGTATTGCTAACGTTGTACTTCGAAGTACTATAGTACTACGTATTAATAGTACTAACTAACGTTAACAGTAAGTACATAAGGCCTCCTCGTGCCAATACAAACAACACGACAGGACCATATATAATCGACTAATAAGGCTACTCACACTACCATACATACTAACGGGGGTGGATGGTACTTAAAAGGTATGTACGTCTGAGGACACTATCGCATTGAACCGCGACGAGTCCAGCCACGCGTCGGAGGACCCACGCACGGACGAGTCGTCGATGGAGATGAGGCTGCGGCCGCTGTACAGCAGGTCATCGGTGGTTCGGTGGTCTTGGGATGGCGGTGGCGCCCCCCACTCGGTGGCGGCGAGGGTTGGCCCCGGATTCTCGGCGCCTTTGCTGCCGATGGACCAATCGGTTTCCCGACTCATGTCGCTCGGGAACCGGCTGCCGTTGCCGTAGTCATCATCGTACGTGCCTTCGCTGTACTGGTCCGAGGCTTGCGTGAAGCGGCACAGGTCGTCCGTGCCGCGGACATCGGTGGCAAACCCACCTGGGACGTCGGACGTCGTGGTCGCGGACGATCCGTCGCTGTTTTCAGCTTCCGAGATGCGCGTCATGTTGGTGGGCTGGTTGAAGCTGTCGGGGGCATGATGAATCGACGATAGCCGGTACATGGGTTCCTGCGACGATTGGTCTCGTCGGGACTGGCTCCGCTGCATGGGCGTGGAATTTGTCGGCGGCGGGAGCAGGTGGGACTTCCCGTACACTCGGCTGTTGGACTGCAGGACAGGCACGGAAGACTGGCGGGTCGACTCCATGAACGCCATGGACCCGCGCTGCGTGTCCACGAATAGCGACTTGTCGCTTTCGCTGGCACGTTGAAAGCGGCGGCGAACCAACACGGCGGCCAAGACGATGCAAACCACTCCGGCGATGACCGACCCAAGGATGATGATGTACTTGGTGTTGGTCGCGTCATCCGTGACATGCGCTTCTTCTAACAAAGATGGATAAGCATCGAGGAAGCAAGCATTGTAACGAACGAGGATACGCATGTATGTATATGTATGTACCTTGACTGCTGGAACTGGGATCAACCGACTTACGAGGTGCGATGGACGACGCCGACGGTAAGGACAGCGACGGATCGTATGAGCCAACGACGTCGTTCTCGTCGGGTAAATGCAACGGAGGTGGAGTGGTTTCGGGCGCCCGAGGTGCTTCCGTCGATGTCGGAGGGGGAGGTGCTGTGGTAGAAGGGTTGATGTTCAACGCGGTAGGACGTGGCGGCGTCGAGGTCGTCTCAGGAGCAGGGGGCGACGTTGTCGCTGGAGGTTCATGCGTCGTCGAGCTAGGAGGAGGCGGTGTGGGCGCTACAGGAGTAGTTGTGGGAGGTGGTGTTGATGGTGCGGGCGGCGGTGTCGTCGGAGCCGATGTCACAGGTGCGGTCGTCGGTGCTGAGGTCACAGGTGCGGTTGTCGGTGCTGAGGTCACAGGTGCGGTCGTCGGTGCTGAGGTCACAGGTGCGGTCGTCGGTGCTGAGGTCACAGGTGGAGGTGATGTCGTGGGAGGCGACGTGGGAGGCGACGTAGTCGGAGTATTGGTTGTTCGAACTGGATTCGGTCTATCTGTCGATGTCTGTGTGAAATTGTCCGCGTGGATGTTTCCTGTGCATATCAGCAGAGCGGCAACAGCGACGATCAGAGTTCTCCGTCGGCAAGTCATGATGGGGCCAAATGTCGAACTACGGTTGTATCCTGCCAATACAATATCATCATGTCACTCCTTGTTGCGGTCCTACACTAGCGTTAAAACCTAACGTTTTTTGTCCTGCATGCTATAGTGAAAACAAGTATAAATAGTATGCATGTGGAATCCGAAGGGTTGGTCGTGGATTCGATTTTTTATGGCTATCAATACAAATAGGTTGAAATACGAGCATGATATCATACAAGTGGTCGTTGTCGATGAAAAGGCGGGCTGGAGTGAGTGACTTGAATCGTAATTGATGATATAATTGGATTGGATAATAATGTAATTATGTAGCGATATGATTGGCCAATGAGGTGAACAAATGGAACTGTTGTAAATACCAGTAGTATGTGCCCTACAGTAGTACAAAAAACAGCCGAATAGAATTGCCTCGCCTTTACGTTATCTCCGACGGACCCGTGACACTTCTCAGGTGAAAGTCTTATGTACCGTAAATTTGGTAGTGTCGATTCATTCTCCATTGCGCTTCAGTTTAGAATAAACACAACAATATGAGTTCATTAGTCATACCCGATACCAACAGCGTTAACTATATCAAGCATTGGACCAGTTTACTTCGTAACGCGGCGGTAACTACATACTGCGATTGCACTGCATTCCCCTGTTAATGGATGCAGATTTCCATAATGTGGTCGTCCGATATTATCAACTTGGATTTTGTATTGGATTTTGGCATGGACGATAGACGATATAATTCACCAGCTAATTCGACGAGAATATTCAGATTATACTCTTTCACCACCACGAATTTGTAAGCCAATCGGATGTGAGCGACACTCCTTTAAAATCTTGACGTTTGTATTCGTTTAACTGTAAATTAATATGCAAAATAGTTGGATCAAAAATATAATTGCATCCATTGCGCAACACGAAATAAAATTTTAACGTTACATGAATTTAATTAGTCAGTGTAAAAAAATGCAATCACATTTTAATTCACAGTTGTGGACCACAACAGTAGCGGTATAGTGGAGGCCACCCAGTCGTTGCGACGAGCAATACGCTGCTGCTTCATTGTCTATGGTAGCGATGGCTCTAAATTGAGTACTTCCATGTATCATGTAGCTATGCATAACTGCCGTGACGCTCTCGTAGGCATGTATGGCAGCAGCTTCAAGGGTTTCTAGTTGTCATTCTATTTATTCAATAAATACTACGAGTAGTATGTTTTTTGTTTGAGATTGAAAAAAACTGCCTTTATAACCAGAGCTCCAATGGAAATTTTTAACGGCAGTGTGTTTTGCCCGAAATATACTGTAACCAGATCTCCCAAAACCGTCGTCATAAGAGAATGGGTTAAAGAACCACCTAACTCTGGGAATTCTCACTTTTTGGACTATTTACAAAAGCAGATTCATGATTTTTGCAAAAATACAAGATTTTCATGTTTACCATTTTTTGCGGTGGCAGCAGCACGATGAGTTCCCGAGGTACTTCATGTTCACGGTCCTACGTCCTGGTGTTCTCATCAGCATAGTCCATTTTGCATGGAACGTTGGGCGGTAAAATGCAGATGGACGCAGTGTACGTGAGGGCGAGGAGCGGCGATCGCGATCTAGGGAGCGATCCAGATCAACGCGGCGGCGATCTTCGTCGTCGTCTCGTGCATCGGACGACGCGTCGTCTGCAAAGAAGGCAAATAAGTCTAGAAAGAAGCACCGTCGTGAACGTCATCGCGACAGAAGTAGCTCCAGCAGTGACGAGGACGCGAAGAAGAAGCCGTCAAAGAAGTCCAAGAAGCACAAGAAGGACAAATCCTCCACCAAGAAGCGCAAGAAGTCGTCCAGTAGCAAGAAGCACAAGCGACGCCACGGCAGTTCCGAAGATGATGCATCGTCGTCGTCATCAGACGAAGACACGGTGCGCAGCGCCATCTCGGGCAAAAAGATCAAGCGGCACATCGAGCAGTCCGATTTGGACAAGCGCAACGAACGCAACCGCGTCAACTTGCTTCAGTTTTACAACGACATGTACTAGAAGTAGTACCGAACCTACTACTAGTAGTACTAAGAGACTACATGCCAAATGTGGAAAACCTGTCGGTAATGTCCATGCGATCCACGGGACACTGGTGAACTCGGACGGCACACGTCGCGCAGAGAACGCGGTGGCGGCACGGCAGTAAGACGATCGACACTTTCTCGTGCAGACACACGACACATGTTTCCCGCTCGCCTTCGACGACGTCTCGGTACTGCTGGCGCATCGCCTCCCGAATCTACACGCAGACATGACTGCAAGAGCTTCCTCTGCGTACAACATATGCATACCTTCGCCAGTCCACCCTCGAGGGTGGTCTCGAGCACCTCCAATTCCGCGACGCTCATGTTTCTGTACGACCCATTGCCGGTGAGGTTTTCGTTGGCTTGGACAACTTGACGCAGGTCCACACGCACTCCATTTAGCCTTTTCTTGAGCGCCGCGTAGCCTCTGCAATAATATTGACAAGATCAACACTCGAATAGTTGAGGAAACTTTGTACTCGTTGGCGACACGGTAGCGTTCGGTAACGAGGTCCAACTTGCGCGTCAGTTTACGGTTCACTTGCATCTCCCGCTCCACGGCTTGACTTTGCGCATGCGCCAGGCCTTGCGATTGCAAGAATTGCACAGTCAGCATCTCGTAGTCGCTACCACAATGCTGTTGGCATAGACATGTCAGGAACAGACCCACGAACCGCGACAGACGCTGAACATCGTTGGCTAAGTGCAGGTTTCGAGCCAGGGACTCCTGCAACCTTGACGACATTGACATGGAATCATCCGTCGCACCAGGTTCGGGCTCTGGCTCATTTGACGACGTGATAAATGTGCTACCAGTGGACGACAAGCTCGACAAGGAACTGGCGCGCGTTCGCACGTGCTTGCGCTGACTCGGAGCAAAGAGCATAAGTGGCTTCGGGGCTGCTGTAGCCACGTCTACCTCGAAACCATGACCGAGCATTCGACGATGATGGTGCTGTGTACTTACCTCGAGATTGATACCAGCGCTGGTGCTCGGAGGACAACAAGGCGAGCGTCCGGCCGTAGGGTGGTTGATGGGGGCGAGGCCCGTTGGCGTTCGGGAATTGATAGGAGGCTAGTTGTGGGGACGGCGACAGCAGATGCAGCACCGTTTCGTCGTCGCTCAAGTATCCATCATCATCGGCGAAAGAGAGAAGGATATCGCTGTCGTCGATGAAGGTCAAGTCGTCGTCGCCGCTGCTGGAGTTGTTGGGGATGTCGTTCCCCATCGATTCGAGAAGCCGGTGAACAAGAGAATAAGCTGATGGGGCGGCAACTTAAAAATTGCAAATGGCTACGTGGACTGCGGTACGTGAGCTTGCCACGTAATAACTGGCTGGATACCCAAGCAATCAGCGCGCAAGGAACTCGCCACAGCTAGTCATTGCGAAGTCGGCTTCCCAGCACATCGTGCTGTGGAATTGTTGGCCTTCTTTTAGATAAGTAAGACGTCGGGGGTCAATGTCCATCATGCGAAGAGGTACAGAGGTACTGTACTTGCATTCAAAGTTCTGTGGGCCAATTACCCGGCTATGCTGGACTTGCAACATTCTATTTTTAGATATTGCACACGTCTCAAATGGCTATCATCGACATTTGAAGTTGTAAGACAACTTCGGTGGTATTCAATGGTACGAGGATTGATAAGAGGGTATTCGTACGTTGTGCAGTGGCAATAAGACATGTTCGAAGCTGTAAGCTGGATCTTTGTAGAATCGAAACTTCGAAATGAACTATAGTTAAGTCTTTGGTGTAGGACACCCGCCAGTCGTCGGGTCAGTCTTGCCGTTGCCGCCGGCAATACGATAGCACTTGGTCGACGGAGAGATCGACATAAAATTGCTCACCATCGAGAACGACAACGCTCCAAGAAACAACGCAATCAGCACCGCGCCAGCAACTTTGCTTGTACCTCCGTGACGCTTGAGCTCCTGAACTTCCCGTTTCTGTGGAGGCAGCATGAACAGCCACACCAACGCAAACAGTTTGGATCCGTACGAGATCAAGTACACATACGTGGCGTCCCATCGGACATGCGTGGTGTCGGCCTTGATGTCATTGTTCGTAACGTCGTAGTACGAGTCGACGAACTTGTAAATGACCGAAGCGAGCGGGGCTGCGAGGTTGTTCATAGTCGTGATGAGTCCATATGTTGCGCCTTCGACTCCAGGGTCTGCCACTTCCACAGCGCAGTACGTGGCCACGATAAAGCGAACTCCATCGGGAATGTTCTCACTCAACCCGACGCCCGTGAAGAACCACTGGTTGCGCACGACATCCCAGATCGTCAAGTAGATCACGATCGCATCGACCACGACCACCCCCACGGAACCCAACGCAATGATCCAGCGCCAGTTCCAATGCAGCCCCCACTTGGCCACCATTGCCAGCGTGGTGGCAAAGATGGCCTTGCCAATCATGTTGGACAGCGAGTCGTTGAGGGGGGTGACTTTGGCCCAATATGTCTGAATCGGGGACGAAGGGGTCGCCCCGACCCAGTTGAACGTGTTGTTGATGAATCGAAACGCGCAGATTTGCCACATCACTCGCTTTTGCAACAACCCCCAAAAGTCGCCGCACCACACTCGCAGGGGGATCGCGGGGCTCTTTTCTTCCACCAAGAGGAAGATCGTTGTGCAAAACACCAACACACAAGGCGCCAAGCAGATGCCGTACGGAACGTTGGGCGACAGCGCAAACGAGAACGACCCGTTGTAGTTGGCGCCGTTCAGGCCAAACGTGACGACTGCGACCGCCGCCATGCCAGTGACCGTGCGCACCGTGTACACTGCGGTTTGCACGCGGCCGCGTATGGCTTCCGGTTCACGTTGCGCATACTGGACAACCATTGCATCCGACGCACAGGCAGCCAACACATAGCCGAACGATACCACCATGGACAGCAAAATGAATTTCGAGCCATTGTCTGGTGCCCCCAAGTTAAAATTGGCCTCGAGGACGTCTGGGGGCACCGATTCCAACGGTTTACCGCAGTAGGTTGCGAACTGGACATTCTCCCGATTGCAGAACGGGGGCCCTACGTCCGAGAACGCCATCACGGCCAAGCAAATCATGGTGACGCCCCACCCAATCAACATCCACGACTTGCGGCGGTAGCCAAAGATAGGGCAGCAATCCGACAACATCCCGAACACGACCTTGAACGACCACCCTAACGTCACGAGCACAGTGTACGCAGCCGTTTGGTAGCCTTCCATGTTGAGGTACACGTTGAAAATGGGGTAGTTAAGCGACGGAATCATGCTGAAGACGACCCCAATGGCGGCGTATTGGGCGAACAACCCCATCGCTTCCATGGAGCACAGGTTCAGGGCGCCCCCGGGAACCAGCGCGCCGCTGACGTCCACTGGCCGAGGGCTTTTGGCTTCGCTGTATTCATCCAACAAGTCGTGGTCTTCGTGGTGGGCGGACTGCTGGATGTACGACAAGCGCTCCTGCAAGTCGCTCTCGTTGGCTAGCCGCATCAGCAAGTTGACGAGAAACACATAAATGGCAGAATTCGGTTGTCCAACGGTCAACTGGTAGTTGAACGAATTACTGCATTATTGGGTTGGGAAATAGACACAATTAATACAATTTAAAATACTACTACTATTTACGAGGGGCCGTTTACTTCTTGGGGGGCGGGATGGGGCACCCGCCCGTCTTGGGGTCCACCGCGCCGCTGCCACCGGCAATGCGGTAGCATTTCGTGGAGGGAAAGACCGACATGAAGCTGCTGGTCATGGAGAATGCAAAGCAGGTGAAGAACCCGATGATCAACACATACCCCGCGAGTTTGCTCTTGCCGCCCTTCTTTTTCAGTTCTTGCATTTCCTTCTTCTGGGGCGGGAGCATGAACAGCCACACCAACGCAAACAGTTTGGATCCGTACGAGATCAAGTACACATACGTGGCATCCCACCGCACAATCGTAGTGTCGGACTTGATGTCGTTGTTGGTGATCTTAAAGTACGAGTCGACAAACTTGTAGATGACTGACGCAAACGGGGTCGCGAGGTTGCTCACGGTCGTGATGAGTCCATATGTCGCGCCTTCCACACCCTGGTTGGCCACCTCGATGGCGCAGAACGTGGCCACGACGAAGCGGACGCCGTCGGGGATGTTTTCACTCAGCCCCACGCCCGTGAAGAACCACTGGTTGCGCACGACGTCCCAGATGGTCAAGTAGATCACGAACGCGTCGATGACGACAACCCCGATGGACCCGATGGCGATGATCCACCGCCAATTCCACTGCATGCCCCACTTGCCCACGACCGCGAGCGTAGCCGCGAACACGGCTTTGCCCACAAGCGTCGAGAGCGAGTCGTTGAGGGGCGTGACAGTGGCCCAGTACGTTTGGATGGGGGACGTGGCGGTCACCCCGATCGAGTTGAACACGTTGCTTATGAACCGGAACGCGCAGATCTGCCACATGACGCGGGACTGCAGCAGGTCCCAGAACTGGCCCCACCACACGCGCACGGGGCTTGCGGGTTTCTTGTGCTCGACCAAGATGAAGACGGTTGACAGCACCACGAGCACGCATGGGATGAGGCAGATGCCGTACGGGACGTTGGGGGCGATAGAAAAGCTGAACTCGCCGCCGTAGTTTTTCCCGTTCAGGCCGAACGCTGTCACAGACACGGCAATCATGCCAAGCACGGTGCGGACTGTGTAAATGGCCGTGAGGATGCGGCCGCGGAAGGCGTCGGGTTCGCGCTGGGCGTACTCGACGACCATCGCGTCGGACGCGCACGCCGCCATGACGTACCCGAGCGACACGAGCATGGACAGCATGATGAAGAGTGCGCCGTTGTCCGGGGCGGACAGGTTGAACGCGGCGTCGATGGCCTCTGGGGGGACACTGGCCAGCGGTTTGCCGCAGTACTTGGCGTACTGTTCGCTCTTGCGGTTGCAAAAGGGCTCACCCAGCGATGAGAACGCCATGATGGCGAGGCAGATCATGGTGATGGTCCACCCGATGAGGATCCACGACTTGCGGCGGTAGCCAAAGATAGGAAAGCAGTCGGAGCACATGCCAAAGATCACCTTGCACGACCAACCGAGCGTCACGAGCACAGAGTACGACGACGTCTGGTACCCTTCCAAGTTGAGATATACGTTGAAAATCGGGTAGTTGAGCGACGGAATCATGCCGTAGATGACCCCGATGGCCGCGTACTGGGAAAAGAGCCCCACGGCCTCCCAAGAAGTGTACACGAGCGCCCCCCCTTCGACTAACGCACCGTCTTCGAGCCCCCCGGGGGTCTTGGCTTCGGCGTACCCGTCAGTGTCCTTGTGGTCGTGGGAAGAGTTGACATACGACAAGCGCTCTTGCAAGTCGAGTTTGCCCGTGTCGTTGGTGGTGTATTGCATGTGCGCTTGACAAGGGAGAACCGACAATGAAGTACTCAAATCGTGGGCAAAGTAAAACCACCTCCACCAAGGACAATCACCTTCCTGGGGATGTTCAAAGCTATCACCACCATATTGGTCGCACGTGGTTCAAGTGTAATCAAGGCAGGGATTTGTTGAAGTGGCGTATACCTGATCACTGAACACTCACTGAAACCAAGTACACGGCCAATACCTGCCTGCTTGAACAACACAGCAATTTCGTAGCTTTCTGTTGACGAACAGGTAACTAGAGATACAGATGTGTGTCGATGGTGGCGTCATCATATCAAGGCCATCGAGCTATTTCAAGACATGCAATCCCGACTGGACAACGTCGATCGTAGAATCACTGCCATGAATTGTCCACCTTATGGTGACGTCGATTTCTCGTGAGGGGTCGTTCTGTTCCCCCCTGAGCGACATCTCTCGGACACCCCTGCGCTCCGTCCCTCCAGCTATCGTCCTTGCTTCACCCAGATGATCATACTCGAATACGACATCCCCCCCTCACTTTCACCATCGAATTCTACAAGCAAACGTGCTTGTCAAACGTAAATCCAGCAACAATCCAGTTGGTCGATTAGACGATGAGTGATTTCTGATCATCTTTGGACACGAGATAAATACGTGTGCAAGGCATGACTTGCAGCTAGCGCTAGGGCAATGTAGACTTGACTCTACATTCTCATATTAAAAAGGCATGTCGAGATGCGGTGGGTTGTGAAAGCGCCGTGGCAATGCTGGGAACACATTGAATTTCAGTACATTATTACGTCCTTTGCAAAGCAAGTGCTTCAACGATAGCAAGGCCCAGTCACATCCAGCCCTGCGTGGACTCGTCGCTTGCTTGTCGTCGAAACACATGCACTTGATTGGGATACTAGAGGATGGACAAACACTCTGTCTCGAGCAGAAATGTTGAACATAGCTTTGTTATTCCTTGAACGACCAACATCAGCGCGATTGTGATGGTGATTGATGCTGGCTACCGTAGTAGAAGTGACGAATAAAATAAGCGCTTCCATCACGAGGACTCGCGTGAAGGATGACCTTTGTGTGCATTTCATTATCGACCATGCGTTGGTTGTTGAGGCCACCCAAGTGAACTGCAATTTACAATTTATCACGTGTCCTTGTAGACCAAACGAACCCATTTCGAGATGATCACACTATTTTCAATACTAGTACTAGTACTACTGTACCGTGGTAAGGTAAAATCACCATGTATGTACAGTCCGGAGTAATGTACTTTTAAACCACCCACTTGAAAGTTTGTTCAAATTTACTGTTAGCACCCTGCACATTTTTGATGAATGGTTACAATGGACTGCTTGTTCGGTGGAATATTATATTGCAATTAGACCAGTGCAGCCAGAGATTAACTGTAAACAGCAACCGAGGCGTGATTGAGTTGAATTTCTTGTTTTCTATAGAATCGAAATCCACGGCTAAAGAAGAGTGCAATCTGGCAGCATGGTGAAAAGAACCTGAACGCAAATGATATTGTTCCACGGTCAAGTTTCCACGTTCAATGCGGGGTTCTAACTGCCAGAATCAAGTCGTGAATGGCGGCACCTGCAACAAGTGCGGGTGCTGATGCCTATAGTATTGACAAATTTTTATTTTTAATATTAATTTTTCAAATGCATACTGTATAGTTCTATTCCCCCAAGAAGTCTTGCGCTCTAGCTACTATTCACTTTCATCAACCATCGCATCGTTGATCAAGCAACATCAACGAAACTATCATGATGAACTTGACGTTTGGTTCGAAGTGGGCATCGAAATACTGTATGGGGCGGTTTGCATCGATGATGCACTGAAGTAAGCCGAAAAATACATGTATTCCAACTATGTATTCCTTCATGGGGAAGATGGGATACAGTAGCCGCCAGACTTGAGGTCCCACCAATTTGCTGTTAGCAATCGGTCTTGTACACTCAACAATCCCGCGCGAAAAATTTATGGGAGCAAAGTCGCATCTCGTACAAAAGTATATCCCTGCTGGACTAATAATGAAATTCAAGTTGGCGTCGGAGTGGACCATCTTGGGCACAGCATTCACACGTGCAGTACAGTAGTTATGGCAAGAATACCAGACCCTACACGACTGGCCACACCCCATAATTGTAGAACTCTACGCATTAGTACGCTTCTACAGTATTCATGAGGTTACGTGGCATTTGCTTACAGTACAGTGTATATCTAGATACATATATCCAGTGCTGATCGAATTTGAACGGGCGCCCACAACGATCGTGCATTTCCACACCCACAATTACAGAACCGTACCAATAACGTGAATTAACAAATTTTTGAGAACGAGTGTCGGCTGGTTGTGAAATATCACCTGTCGCAATACATATACACTATACGGTATACGTATAGTCTCCTTCCTGTGTACGTGACCTCAATAACTTTGCACATGGACTGCGACCTTTCTTTTGCCAGTACGCTCTGTAGCCAGCATATAAGCTTGAAAGTTCGACCCATGGTTGAGACTACAAGTACAGTACCGCTAATTGAGGTGGCTCAATTTAAATCAAAGCGGCCCAAGAAGTTAACAGAATTCTCCTATTGTCAATTTAAATCAAGCGGCCCAAGAAGTTAACAGAATTCTCCTATTCCGACACAAGTCCAACACTGACTGGGTCTTGGTTACGACGTCCATTCAAAAGCGGCAGTATTGTTGTTATGGCCGAGTCGTCCCCCATCGAATGACCACATGCCATTCCCGCTGGCGGTGGCTGAGAGTTTTCACCAGATTTGAACTGTTTCCCCCAACCACAACCGTCCCACTGTTATGAGTTGCATCATGGTAAATTGGGCAAGGGTTCAGCTGCACTTTCGAAGTCACTGCGATCCATGACGTTAGAAACTACGTAGTATATTTTGAACACAGTAAGTGCCATGGCGAATCTCTGCAAGTGATAAGCTATGAAACCTCAACCACACGAATGGTTGTTGAGGGCGTTTTCATTAACGTAAATTTTTTTGCACTTGCAGTTATCTGAAGTGATTTGGCTCGTATTAAATCAAGTGGGTAGAAAGACTAAAAGTCTCGTTGTTTCGACAAGGACCAACACGGGCACCAGGCAGATTTGTTGGGCCAACGGCATCGCTCGCTCATATTTCTGGGCGTGGTCCTTACGTCGCATCGGTATATGTGGTGGCTAAGTGCCCCCTTCTTGAATCCCGGTATACGAAGCCTCGAGATCACGACGACATGACAATCACATGAGGTCGACTCATCCATCATCATCGGCGCGTCCGTGTTGCCAGCCGCCGTTTTAAGAGCTTCAGTTTCGACACATCCACAGCCATCGAAGCAGCAGCCATTGGTTTCTTCAATGGTTGGGGTCGTGGGTTGTTGGTGATGTACGTCGTGTGTGCGTCACACCATTGGTGAAATGACATCGCCCAACTCCCCCCCTCCGCTACACCTCCCCCTTCCAACACGACCAGAAGCGACTCGTATCGTCGCACAATGTTGAACTGGGGAACGGCCAAACTGCACTTTCGAAGACACAACGGGCACAACACAAACGTTGGAATGTCGCACGTGATGTCGAAGCCAGTGTTGGCGTTCATAACGCAAGTAAAGAAGTTGCAGGGAAGCACCCCCAGTGCATGCAGCAGCGCTTGCACTGCTGGTTGCGGTGATGACGTTGGCTGCACCACCGATACGATCAACACGAGTTTACCGTTCACAACAACTGGGGTTGAAGTTGCACTACGACAATGATATATGTATATCTCAACAAATTACCTCCAACAACATAGTGTGTGGTTTGGTCACGCACCTCAACGCTTCACATGTCAGCACTAACATGGTCGAGGAGCTTGGCGGGCAATGCCTCGATGCCGCATCCACAACCTGCTGGACATTTAACGCCACGAGCCTATCGATGGACATAGGCGTGGAATGAATTTAACAAGAGTATCGTACATACTGCGGGTACCCTGGGACGGCGCACTGTAGCATGCGAACGCGAGGCGCGGCGAAGGCTGAAATGGCTGAGGCGTGAAATGAACTCACGTCAAAGTACGCATTAAGGAAGGGCGTCCAGAGCGATGTATTCGGTGCACTCCCAATGCTCGTCACGCAGATAGGACGCTGCAGGAAATCACCCCTATCAGAATATGACATGATGCAACGTCGATGACAACGCTCCAAGATGGAGGGGTACCCGAGGTGTGACGTTTGTTTTGCGACCAAGAAGGCGGCCACAGACTGCACAGAGGACGAGGACGACGGGGGTACTGACTCAAGAGTACTGTACACATCGACGTTCAGTGCGCGTCGGAGATCTTTCGACGCTGGAGGTTTGCCCAACGCCGCTGCCAAATCCGAAGACATGGTACAAGCATGTACGTGTTCGCCTGTGCAGATGTGAAACGACTGCGTAACGGATAAATTAGTTGGTAGTGGTATCGACCAAGTCTTGTACGTGTTGGCGTTCACATGACTACATCTGCCGAGGAAATGGTTAACCTAACGTTACTTACTTGGTCAAGGTACATACATATAAGTTTGGCCACTGACTTTACTGCATTCGGCAACCTTCGCAAGACATCCACAACGGACAATTGATTTCGATTTACTTCGACGATAACATGCGCGCAATATCGATAGCGTACAGTTAGTTAGTTGTCTGTAATTGGTGACTATGCGTTGCTTCATTGTCACTCGCTCATTTATCACTTGCAAAAATACAGTGAAAAATACATACTGTACTAGGTGACGGTGGGGATAAGAGTTGCTGTAAATCCATGCATTGAAATTTCAACGTTGAAGTACGTAGTACAGCGACTCCCACGCAGAAATATACTATTAATAGTAAGAACACTACGGAATTCGTTGACTTTTGTATGCAACCCACGATTTTTATATCCAATGAGATCTCAAGAACCACCATTTGCAGCACTCGAATTGACCAATCCTCCTCTATCGCACGGGTCACATATCAAAGTTCAATGTGAGGCATCCTAGTGGTAATGACATTGATAGCATTATGTATGTAGCAGCAGTACACAAGTTGAACTACGCTGTACTACATAGAATGCAGGAGCAATCGTTATGCAAGAGTTAATGTGATCTGTTGAAAGTCGAGTTGGACGCGTATTGACTGTGAATCAAGGAAATTCTTGTATGGGCAGGCAATAAACACAAAAGTCCCGTAAGTATATCTCTACGACGAGATGAAGCAAGTATTGAACTATTTACGGGTCAAGTTGTTGATACAGTTGTAGCCTATCGTCATTTCTCCACATTTTCCTCTGTTCTCCAATAATTTAAGTGCAAGCAAATGCATAAATTCTCTTCAGGAATATACGTAGTTAATATTATGTCGTTGAATATTTACCTGAGGACCTTGACGTACGTGGCGACGAATACAGTACTCCGGATTGACCAATGGGAGAGATTGATGCACGGTTCGGTCGGTGAGATTTGATGAACAGGCCCGGAAATTCGTCAAATCCTTTTGAGAGTTTAACTTTAGGTGAATTCCCCCTAATGTTACTGAAATTGCCCCCCTCCAAGGACCACCGTTGCCCCCATTCAATTTTAGTCGGTAATGCTTTGCAGCATGGAATCAACATTATTTGTGGAATCAACATCATTTATCGAAATACTGTACACTCTAACACTATTTCACTCCACTTTGCAGTTGCTGGTTTTTGGAATTTGGAAGCCCCTTAAACTTTCTTTGTACTCGGAGTAACGCTATATTGAGCACGACATTTCTAATAATAACTTCACAGTATGTATGTATACTTCGAAGTAAATTATACTATGAATAGTGATCTACTTCGAAGTAACATTTACTACGAATATTTCGTCGAAATCGATACGAAAGACATTGCGTCGACATGAACAACTACACTGCCGCAGTCCCAGACAGTGCGCTTGCCGATCCACACGCGAATACCATTGCATCCATCCACGCACCAGCTGTCGCTGCAGGAAACCCCCGCAATATCAACGATGTGCAAGCAGCTACTGAAGACGTTGAGTCCCGCAAGCGTCTCGGCAATGTTCATGGCAATCGAGAGACTGATGCCGAAATGGGGGCCGCAAGAGTTCGACGTCATGTCGTGCTTGGCGAAAACGCAGTGAGTATGTACCCCAGTGCAGAAGCTCCTGCATGGTTTGCTCCGGCAATGCAAGTAGCACTTCAACCACTTCTTCACGCGTACGAGAATAATTCTATCCATCATCGATTCGTCCACCAGCTACTTTTACTTTGCGTAGCGAGTCGCGAGGAATTGCGCGCATGATCAATTCAAACGTGTGTCAAGATAATGACATGATTGAAGCGCTGGTCGACAATCACGGGACGATTCCTGCATTGCTCCCAGGTGGTTTGACGTTGGGGATACTCAAAGCCTTGCCCCCTGCTACCGTCGACGCTTTGCTGTCTGCGTATGATCAAGTGGCCGTGGGTAACGAGGCCGCGCGGCGCCGCCAACTTTGTGTCTGGTTGGGCTTGAAGCAGGGATTCTTTTAATGTGGTTGATTTACCCTACACCAATATTACGTTCTTAGTTAACAGCTTGTTGCGGACCAAGATACCCGCGGACCAAATTGGCTAACGTTACTGCAAGTAAAAGGTCTCCTACTGTACAGTACTCACATAATTCAATGGAGAAGTTGGCAGACGATTCTGAAAAGAGCTTACATGGCCTCACCGTGGAGGGAGGATGCGAGGTAAGAAACGTCCACTCCAAGGTGAGGTCATGGACAATAGGTCGCTAAACGTACAAACAACTTTCAACTGTACATACCAATAAGCATGGCAAGGTGACATTAGGGTATAATTTAATTGCCATGAAAGTACATTGCTTTCCTGGTAATTAAATTATACTACAGCCGAAGACATGTTTTCAATATATTTGAGATAATCTCCATACATTCTTCAAGTCCGGTGAACATTTGAAAATTCTGCCTTATAACCAAGATCCTGCTCTTTTGATTGGTACAAATTTCACACACAAATCCAATCATTGGTCATAAAACCGTAATACTGCAGTAATGTACTATTAATAGTATGTGTCAAACATCAAACCTGTCACGTGATTTGAGACGGAGTGGTACTCACAGCTGTCAATATGGTTTCGACGATAGTTCAAGTCCACTGACCTACAGAGATGCACCCATCAAACGCCATGTCACAATCTCGGGCAAGTCCAAAAACCGGGTATTAAGCCAAGGTACGGTATTTACCCGACAGGTCGAGTATGTGTAAGGTTTGGTCCTTCAAGTGTCATCACCCCATTCAGAATTCGCGCCTGCGTTGGCAACATCAACCAACATGCGAGTACTGGTGTCGGCGTTAGTCGTGCTTGTATGCACCATCCTGTGCGCTGCCCAGGACTTGGACGCCGAAGCGCGCGACCGCGTGGAACGTATGAGCATCGACCAGTTGCTGGGTCAAATGACGCAGGTCACCATTAACTTCGTGGTGACCTCGGAGGGCGGAGGCAAGGGGCTCAACGAAGACAAAGTCCTGGAATTGGCCAAGCAAGGCATCGGATCGTACCTGAACACGCCGTTCCAGACTGCTCTTGGGGACAACTACGGGTGGAACGTACAAGAGTGGCGCGAGGCCATCGGCCAACTCCAAGACGTCCACACCCGCACGAGCGGCACGCCAATCATCTACGGACTGGATTCGCTCCACGGCGCCAACTACGTCAAAGGCGCAGTTCTCTTTCCCCACCAAATCAACGTTGGCGCGACGTTCGACCCCGAGCTGGCCCGTCGAATGGGCCACTACGCTGGGCGCGACACCAAGGCGGCGGGGGTTACTTGGATCTTCGGTCCGACTTTGGAACCTGTGCGCCACAAGGGGTGGCCGCGCATCATGGAAACGTTTGGCGAAGATCCGACGGTAGTGGCGGACATGGGGAAGGCGGCGATCGACGGCATCCAGAGTCAGGGGGTGGCGGCCTGCTTCAAGCACTTCATCGGGTACTCGGCCACCAACAGCGGCAAGGACCGCGACCCGGCGTCCCTGAGCGACCACGAACTGCTCAACTTGTTCATGCCGCCGTTCAAAGCAGCGATCGATGCGGGGGTGATGAGCGGCATGGACTCGTTCTTGTCGTTGAACGGCATCCCCATGGCCGCTGACCGCAAAAACTCCATCCAGTTCCTCCGCAACGACCTCAAGTTTGACGGCGTGCTGGTCAGTGATTGGGAAGAAATCTACATGATGGATTTCCATCACCACTACGCCGCGAACCGCAAGGACGCCGTGTACAAAGCCATGACGAACTCGTCCTTGGACATGAGCATGGTGCCGTACGACACGAGTTTCATCGGATATATGAAAAACTTGAACTCCGCGGGGGAAATTCCCCTCGACCGCATTAAGACATCGGTGACCCGTCTTGTCAAGATGAAGCTCAAGCTCAACCTGTTCGACGTGCCGGTGCCGGGGGCCGATGTCGCCGACCAGGTGGGCGACAGGCCGAGTCGGACGGCGGCGTGGGAGATTGCCAAGGAGTCGTTGGTGTTGGCGAAGAATGTCGACAAAGTTCTGCCGCTAGACAAATCCAAGAAGTTCTTCCTCACGGGCCCATCGATCGACGACATTGGGCTCATGTGTGGTGGCTGGACCTTGACGTGGCAAGGCCAGCAAGGCAGCTCCATGTTCCCCAACCATTTGCGCACGATCAAGGGTGCGATGATGGATGTCGTGAACGATACATCCCGTGCTGAGTTCTACCAAGGGGTCGACATCAATGGTACGTGGTCGGACATCAACATGGCCATGGAGAAGGCCCAAGCCGCCGACTACACTGTGATCGCTCTGGGGGAGCGGACGTACGCCGAGTTCAAGGGCAACAACTACACGTATGAACTGCCCTCTGGACTGACCGAGTACGTCAAAGCTCTTGCCACCACGGGCACGAAGATCATTTTGGTGCTAGTGGAAGGGCGTCCTCGCTTGTTAAGTGGCATTGCAGACATCGCTGCAGGTGTGCTGTATGCTGGGCTGCCCTGTGAAATGGGTGGCGAAGCTATCTCGAGCGTGCTGTTTGGTAGCACAAATCCCAGCGGCAAGTTGCCGTTGACGTACCCTAAATCAACAGACCAAGTCAACTTAGCCACCCCGTACTATGGGCGAATTGGCGACAATTGCGTTGTGGGTGGAGTAACGACCAACTGTCCGGTGGAATGGCACTTTGGGCACGGGTTGAGCTATACGTCATTTGGCTACTCCGACGTTCGCTTGACAGCCACTAATCTGACGCCGTCGCTGAACCAAACTGTGGTGACCGTCACCATTACAAACGAGGGCGAAATGACCGGCAAGGAGTCGGTGCTGCTATTTGTGTCGGCGCCCGGGGGTCCCGAAACGAGATTGCTCAAGAAGTACACCAAGGTCGAGTTGACGTCAGGGCAAGCCACGGACGTGAGCTTTACGCTCTCTCCGGATGACTTTGGCAAATACGTCAATGAAATTGGTCAAGGGTTGCGTAAAGAGGCGACTGCTGGGACGTACTACGTTTCACTCAAGTACGACACCCTTTGCAGCGAAGCCACCCTTGGCCCCCTCTGCAAAGCTTTCACGTGGAGCCCCCCCTCGACCACTACTCCAACCGATACCCCAGCATCTTGTGCCAAACTCGAGATTTTGCTCCCTCCTCCCTCCTTGACCTTTTTTATCTTGGTTTCATTATACATGTCCATATAATTCAAATCCGAAGTACTGTAACGTAAAAGTCCAATTTACTTATACTAACTGTAAGAACACTTTTTCCGAGGCGCTGTGTGGAAGGCACATAAGTCGACTCGTACGTATCGGATTATAATTCTACAATATGTTACATGAAGCCAAAATCCAGGCCTATTCTGGAGTTATGAATGCGATATGATTCCTGTTATCATTCATTATCATTCACATCACTTTGTCCAGAAACAGCTTGAAATAAGCCCAATTTAAGGTGCACCATTTTAAGCTTAGTCTTTGTTAAACCATTTGCATATTTTTGGGCGGTTAACTTAAAAACTGTAGGAATTAATTGGCTAATTCACGTGCACCTTAACTGTAAATTGGATCGAGCACCTTAAATTGGACTTTTACGTTACTTACCTATATCTAGGTATTTACGAAACAAACTACGAAACACACCTACTACGTTACTGTACACTAATGTTTTTCACTCATACTGCATACTCCGGGAGATGCGGGAACTGGAGAGAAAAACTCATCATAACACGAAGTTATGGATGGCCAAAATCGAGGCATTCTTGGTTGGCGAAGCAATATCTAGACTTTCTTCGCAGTCATCCAACTTGTTGGAAAGTGCTGTACTGACACGCTTTCTATCGCTCTCTGCAAGTTGTGGTGCTTGCATTCAGAAACTTCGCGCCATTTCGCAATGAAAACTGAGCAGTTCCGGATATTTCCTTACTTTTCCGGATGCAAATATTTTTTTGCGCAGGTGTAAACATGTCGACATGCGCAAATATCGAAAATGGGCGAACTTTGAGGACGCTTTTCTCGAGCTGTGTAATATTTACAGCAATACTACTTGTACTACTAGATAGACCATTACTAGCTCAGCCTATGCAGCATGGTCTGCGCATACATAGCTCTCTCTGGCATGAGGCAGCTTACCCGTATGTACACGCTTGTTCTTGAAATACGACGAATTGGGCAAGTTCGAAGTTGTCTTTCTCTACAGCTGTTGATTCAGGCGACATGCAAATAAGGTGTTGTTGATAGTATTGGTTGTTGTTATGAGGAATAGAGAGTTTCGTGACCTCTTGTGCAGTATGCATTGAGAAATCGCTGACCTGCATCGCGCCTTTCCCGCATGTACGCATGCACAATCTGCAGGATGTATAAATCGTTTTGCAAAACGTAAATAATTATGGGGATGAATAAAAATACGCATATTTAATACAAATATCAGCATACATATGTTCAAGAGAATAATAATATGTAACTGTCGCACCCATCAACACTCCGTTTGATTCCGCGGAAGTGGCAGATTCAGTTCCTGGTTGACTCACACACGACAACTTGAATAAAGATGCATGTATCCCCTGGACAATGGTACACCATGATTTGAAGGAATCAAGGACCTTTAATTTCTCATAGTGATGTGTTCAGGAGTACTATATGTATATTAATTAATAAGTACTACGTAGTACTACTTACTGTTAGTACATGTATTAATAGTAGACCGACCTCTTGTTCAGTGACGAAGTTTCAAGTCAGAACGTGGTATTGACAAAGTAGTATGTACTACGTAGTATAATTGCTCATTTATTTAACTATTATTTATGTTCTTGAATCAATTTATGTCGATTGCCGACCTGATCTGTTGAACAATCACAACAAAACATATGATTTTGAAAACCACGAAACGGTAGTATTATTTTGGATCATGTTAATTTACATGGACATCACCAGAGTACGGAACATTTGAACCGTCATGGGCCCACCAAAAGATGTACTTTTGGGGCTAGGTATTTGCATCAGTTGATGTAGTCATGTCTTTGACACGTTATAGGGACGATCGTTCTCCCTGGTGATGACACCACAGCGAAATTCCATTTTTGTTAGCTCAAGGCACAAAACGTGCATTCTGCAGTGGCTATGCCCCGGGTTCGAGTCCCACTGAGACCAGATCTTTTTCGGGTGCAATTGTTAACAACTAGACCTCATGTTCATATTGTAGAAATGTTCTTGAAAACAAAAGAACGAAGTATAATCCCATTTAAAGCACCTACAGAATTGAGCGTCGGCGATCGACTTGGGGAGAGATCAACTCAAGTCGCCTCGCATGCTGGACACGATACTGTGCTTGAGCTCGACTCCGCTTCCTCGTTGCCTCGTTGGGCATACTACTGTAGCGAGCCAATACAACATGATAATACACATAGTACGTCTCTAAGTATAGCACCAGAAAAGGCACGCCGATGATGGCTTGACGACTTCGTTCCACAATCCTCACATACATAGCAGCAGTGTCGGCATACCGGTACATCAAGAGTAATTTGTCAGACGCATGCACCATAGTGTAATCACAGGCTCGCTTCGCCATTCGCACACAAGTGGCGGGTCTGGCTGCCCGAATTGATGGATTTGGTATTTGCCACGGCTCGTTCGTTATAAGCACCAAATCCATCAATTCGTGTTGCCAGACCTGCCGCGGCCCAATTATAACGTTAGTATTGTCGATGATGCAGGCGACAATATATCGGAGCCCAACCTTCCCACGGAAGGTCGCCAAACAAAATGTGCCTCTCGCCCGTCGAAGGCACTTTGCCTACGGTACAGTGTTTGCATGCAAAGAATATCAATGCCATATTGTTGCGGCCGCATCAGGTTTCTGTGTTCGCCAGGTGCTGTCCCCAACTTGGACGACGACGGCGACGAAGTTGCGATTCGGCTATGGACCTTGAACTACCTTGGTCAAATTGATACTTGTTTGTACGTTTAGCTATCTACTGTCCATGACCTCACCATGAAGTGGACGTTTCATACCTTGCATCTTCCACTCCACGGTGAGGCCATGTAGCTCTTTGCAGAATCGACGACTGCCAACTACTAGTACTCCGGAGCACTCCATTGAATTATGCACTGTAGGTACAGTACCTTTTAGTAGCGAATTTTGGTTCGCGTTTTGAGTAATCCTACAGTATGGACTGGTAATTTCGGGTATCTTGGTCCGCAACAAGCTGTTGCCATGGATCTACACCGTGTTCTGCTCGTTCGAAGTCGCGTCAATCACGTACAGTACATAGTCGCGGATGCCGCGCTGCCCTTGGACACGCACCACAACGGCATGTTGATCGGTAGTGACGTCGTCGATTGGTCCTGGAAGCCGCCAGCGCGTCGACGACCCTGCAGGTTAACGGCCGGGACGCCGCTACAGCTGAGTAAATCGGCCTGCGCTCCACGGAACGTCACAAGGTCTGAACTGGTGATTTCACTTGTGTGGATATTTTGAACTGTATCATTTACTACGAATATTTCGTCGAAATCGAAAAGAAAGAAATTGCGCCGACATGAACAACTACACTGCCGCAGTCCCAGCCCTGAATGCGCTTGCCGATCCACACGCGAATGCCATTGCACCCGTCTGCTCACCAGCTGTCGCTGTAGGAAACCCCCGCAATATCAACGACGTGCAAGCAGCTACTGATGACGTTGAGTCCCGCAAGCGTCTCCGCAAAGTTGATGGCAATCGAGTGACTGATGCCGAAATGGGGACCGCGAGAGATCGGCGTCATATCGTGCTTGGACAAAACGCAGTGAGAATGTACCCTGGTGCAGGAGCTCCTGCATGGTTTGCTCCGGCAATGCAAGTAGCACTTCAACCAATTATCCATGCGGTGCAAGCTCTTCGCCACACGTACGAGTGTATCTTTTATCCACCATATTTATGTCCTGTATTTACTTTGCTTAGTGAGTCGCGCGGGATTGCGCGCATGATCAATTCAAACGTGTGTCAAGATAATGACATGATTGAAGCGCTGGTCGACAATCACGGGACGATTCCTGCCATACTCGCACCTGGTATGACGTTGGGGATGCTCAAAGCCTTGCCCCCTGCTACCGTCGACGCTTTGCTGGCTGCGTATGGTCAAGTGGCCGTGGGTAACAAGGCCGCGCGTCGCAGTCAACTTTGTGTCTGGTTGGGCTTGAAGCAGGGATTCTTCTAATGTGGTTTACTGGCCCAATAGTACCAATTTCAGATTCAGACTAACGTTAATACAAGAGTTCCAAAAGCTAACGAACAATCTGTGACGTGTTATCCACAGGTTGTTCATTCATTTCAAGGCTCTTTTTATCTTTACACTTTTGATTTTTTAACAGCGGATCAGAATTTGACCAGGTTCAAGGGCATTTGTGTTATCGCTTGGCGGCAGGGTCTACGGGTAGAAAGAAGTGGATCTGAGCGAGGCTACAGTCAACGCACTTAACCTCTTGGTGGAATATTTTTGGCAGACAAGTTGCAAGTTCCATTTTAGACTCATTTTTTGAAGGACACGCGTAAAAGCACCTGTGAAAAATGCTTGTTATTTTGCTATCTCTGATATTGTCCTCCGGCGGTTGGTTGAATGAACCGCCGCACAATCGCCGGAACAGTTCAAAATTCATTCATTTTAGCCAATCGTAATGCACCATTCATTCTTTTTAGCTAATCATACAGCTTTGATCGATTTATTGGCGATTTCAAAACAATCGCCCAAAAATGACAAATATGGATGTAAAACCCCCATAATCTCTACTTGGAGTAATCCGGAAAAGTAGTTGTCAAGTTAGATTTTGACTTGATCTATACATGTATATGTATGTATTCGAGTCGCGGACCAAAATAGTGCTTTTTACTGCGGTGCTGTATATGGTGTTTTTGTTTCCTACCACTTCCTACCAAAACCCTACCAAGTCCTACCATCCGTATAATTCAGCAGTTATTCGTATCCCCCGAAATACCGTACTTCGTGAAAATAATCGGTATTTGGGGCACAGGATCCATTGCCCCA